CATGCTGATTTTCAGTCACAATTTTCCCTCGTATCGCGCGTCAAGGGTAGCGATTGGCGCCATGAGGTCGGAAAATATGGGACATAGGACTGAGTCTTACGGGCGACCAGCTTTCGCGCTTTCACTAGTTTATACACTGAGATGGTGATAAAGCAAGATGTTACCGTGTGCACCCAGTATCAGCATACAGTTGATATCGTCACAATCAGTCTGGCGGTTTCAGGCGGGATGTAATTAGCCTACCCACTTTTCTGCTTTTCTTCCTCACGTCACTGGTTTTCTTCCTGGATTGATCGCTATTGGGTGGAACCCGACTGAATGCGACGATATCGAATCAGCTCGTAACCATATAACAATGCATACCTGTTCAGTAAGATTGAAAGGAGGTATCTGAGGAGATCTGACACAATTATGGTTAGCTGGATGCGAAGGAACGTTAGGAGTAGTTGGCCACACATTTACAGGAGGGGATCGAACACTGTACGACAGCATTTGTTCTCCAATGTTTCTGTTTGGAGCGGGCACAGGAGAGGGTTTCTGGAAGCGACAGCCGATATAAGATTTAACCAAAATCCGAACTTTTCTTGAATATACCTCGGATGCAGATGCACTCTGCTGCAGGCGTTGACCGTTTTCTTGCGGCCGCTGAGCGTTGGGCTGCGACCGCACTTCTGTCACCGGTACCGTAACATTATCACTGGACTCATTACTACTTGGACGCCCACTGTCTGGCGATACTGGAGCGGCTGGTTGAGATCTCGAAGGAAGTACAGGCCTGCTGACAGACTGGGTTACTCTGATAGATTTAGTTGCAGAGGTCGGTTTACTGGCAACTGGAGACCCCGGCGGGGACCAGCCGGGTGTAAATGCTGAAATATGATATAAATGAAAATTGAAAGCGTAGGGCTATAACATTGAAGAAGCCAGTATAAAAAACTTGTTAACGATTGAAACGATTCGCAGTTAAACTTTAACGATTCAAGGAGCACTCAAGGACACACTACACAATTACTTAGAGGTAGATCTTGGTATGATAGATAGCTCCTCCGCCCCAGAATAGTTTCTCCACTGCCATTTGAAAGTGCGCGGCTCGTTGGTTCCCTATGGATACGTTCATTATTTGATGCACGATACGCACGCTACGAATGCGCCGCGTCAGGTACGCAGACAAATGGCATGTATGACTTTGGTTATACTTCCGGTATAGCGCAGCTGCATATTGCGTATGGCGTATTACGTACCAAAAGGCGGGCGGAGAAAGAAGACCCCGCCATAACATGTGCCTAGCTTGCTGTGAGCATTCGTACGCTGGGAGATTTACGCTTCTACGAAAGTGGACCTGCCCCCTTTGCAAAAAAAAGGTCTACCTCTCAAGTCCTCTCACTTAGTAGTATATGGCCCCATTAAATGAATCATCGAACTCACATCGAGCAGGTCTACGATTCCGTTGGCTTCGCTTGACACGCGAAATCAGATCGTCGTTGGGATCGTCATCTGTGGAGCTAACGTCAACCTTCTTTTCAGCAGAGCCGCTAGTTTTCTTTTCACTCTTTTCTCCTGTCTTCGACAGAGAGCTGCTAGTTGAGCTGTTCTTAGCCCGTACCGTCGTAGGAGTGTTGTTTTGAGACTGAGTGGTCTTTTTAGAGGTGATTGGCTCTACGGTGGGCGACGGTGTGTGCTCTTCTCTTTCGGCTCCGATCATTTCCTTGTTACGGTCGTGAGTTTTCCTCTCCAAAGCACTAACCATTTCTTCCAGCTTTCCTGAAACAATTTTCGATGAATTCACGCAACTGAACCTTCAATTGTTATCATGGAAATTCTTAAGATCTCAATGAATGGTCGAATACTGGACAAAATGTATAGGGCTTTATTTTTGCCGGCAACCTACACTACTTATCCTAAAGATGGTGAAGGCTTGTCCAAGTGCGAGCGCCGCAATGGCAGCCTATTTCTGAAGAGTTCCTGGTTGTCAAGAAGGAGTAAAGGAGGGATGTACTAACATTGTCTTTCGCCGCACGTGATCTCCTACACACAGTTACACTTGACTAAAATTTTTGTAGTGGCCCTGGCGCGAAAGGCCAGAGCGCAGAGAAACAGAAGACTGCGGCCGCCAAGGCACCAAAGGGAGCAAAAAACATGTTGCGAACCAGGAGATGATATATGGGGGGGGCGACCTCCAAAGCTGATCAGCCACCTACATGTTGAGATGTGTTTGACAACGTGCTCATAAAATTGAGCACACCTGCGAGAGGGGTATGTGACAAGAAAATCGTAATTCGCCGGCAGATGGGCGTCGCGTGCGACATCGCGCGCGCTGACCATGGTTCCTCAGTTTGAAGATGGCGATAATAGAAATGTAGAACCGAATATAGTCATAAATGTCTACATTCGTAGCCCACGTGAAGTCCGGTGCTCCAATCGACAACTAACACGTGTTAAGAAAGCGCCGCTCCCATCGCCGCGCGCGGCGGAGCGGCAAACTACGATTCTCTTGCTCGTCTCCCTGCGAGAGAGCGTTGCAGAGAGCGCAGAGAAGAACAGAAAGTTGGCGCGATTGAAAATATTGAGTTCAAGATGTCTCATAGCGTTGTGAACAAGTCGAGCCGGAATCTCTACAGGGCGTAGCGTTTTTTTTCGAACCGTGGCGAAAGCAGCAAATCAGACGTTACAAGCGGAGGACGTGAATCACATTTGCACCAGGACCTAATCCCTTCAACGTAGCTGCGTCGCTTCGACTATTACTCTGCGTCTGCGTCTCTCGAGTAGACATTCCCCTCTCTACCTTGCGTGGCAACTTGAATTCTTGTGCATGTTCCTGTTGGGAAACCTTGTAACGCAGACAAACAGAGAGCAGGGCCTGTCGAACCACCAAGAGGTGCACAAAAAATATAAGGCGAAACACCGGGTGGGATTTGTTTGCTCACAATGCTCAAACAACATTTGTCGTGACTCTTGTGCACACTTAGAACAAGCCATTTTGATTACTGAGGAATGGAAAATACGCAGAAAATATAGCTGACTGACTTAGATCCGCAGATGTCTCTTCCTGATTCTTGTCATTTTTCATGTGCTGCAAGTTTGCAATTGTAGCAAGAGCTTCAGAAACATTTTCACCAGCGCTCGCGGCTTTGCTGAGTGTTGTTCTATAAATGAATTGCTTCTAAAGGTGATTTCACGATTTTCGTGGCAAAAATGGAACTCACAGATAATGTGTGATTTTCTCCATAAAAGTTGAGTTCCACTGTGGAGATTTTTCACGATCTGGTAAAAACTTATTCAGTTTGAAAGTTGTAAAAGATGACGTGTATTTCCAAGTAAAAATGAGGTCCAGGTGGACGTGTCTTGTACTTTTCTACAGTATCCAGAAACTAGCAAAATTGTTTTGTGAAAACATGCACTTAACTCACCCTCCTCTACTCTGCGTCTTTTTGGAACAGAACTGGAAACTTCCAATATTTCTATGTCATCATCCGGATTGGAGAGTGACTGCTCATAGGACGTGAACTCTTGCAGTCGTTTCATTATTGAGTGGTTCTTCTCCTTCAGCTCACCTTAAGTTGTTTGTAATAATTCGATAAAATTGATCGGCTTAAGAAACGTTTAGAAATACAAGCTTCGGCACGATTCAGGCGTTACAACCCCGTACGCAGGAATTTAGCCTGGTTTTTTAACGAGATCTTTCAGCACTGATAGACTGGACTAGAATTCTGCCTTTCGCATATTTCTAACTATTTTATCCCCTCTGAATGACTAACTACATCAATACAGCCCACAAACGCTCTTCGTCCTCGCTACAGACGCCAACAACAGGTCTGTTCAAGCTTCTGCGGCTCTAACGCGAGCTCCAGGTTTCCTAACTAAGCATATGAGAGGTTCGTGTTCGTGCGGTCGCATTCCTTGTGCAACTAGTTGTTCAGCGAAAGCAGCGATCTGGCCCCACTTCACGCGAAGGCCGCATAGGATATTCGTGTTCAGGAGCAGTTTGCAAACTTTCGAGCGAATCTGCTCTGGCATGACACAGACAGAAACACTGCTAACATTCCGAAGAATGAGGTCGTAATGGGTGACAATGCCGAAATTTGTCATTCTGTCACCCGCTTTACCCGGTAAGGCCAACTTTAGGACAGCTTTCAGACATTGCGATGACGCAGCGTCGATGCGCTGTACCGCGCGTTGACGGGCTACCACTGCAAAGGGGTACAAATACCATAGGAACAGAGCCGCATACGGGCATCAATCTTTGTTTCAGGGTGGTAGTAGGAGGGCAGACGCCAGATAATCATACAAATGGTATTGATTGACACCAGTTGTTAGTATTCCGCCGTTCCATACCGTCTGCGGCTGCGTTCCCGTCTACAGCACTGGAGTGCCGCTGCACCGGCAGCGCGTCGTCGCGAAGCCAAACTCTTCTGTGGATGACTTTTAAAAGTAAAAAAAGGAGACCACTTACTCATTCTCAACTTATACAGATGGAAAGGAATCGGTGGCTTGCTCCGATCGCCATCCCAACAAGCGCCCAGCAACCACTTGCACATCTATATATACAACCATTAAAGAACCAACAGAAGTATGGCACTCTGGGATAGCAAAGTAGACTAATAAATGACTCTCGATGAACAAAAACCAACTTCCATAATGGTGACGATACCGGCCATGCAGTCGACATATTTGGGCTCACTTGCAAGGCGAAGTGGGGTGGCTGTTTCGAGCCTGAAAACCGCTTATTTCCAAAAATGCATTAAGTAACCGCATAAAAAGACGTCTGTTGAGCAGTTCAGGTGATACCTAGTGATACCTAGCCACATGGCAAGCGCCTTTGTTTTCATTCCCCTATCCAAGGTTAAGGCTAAGAGCGCAGATGACCAGAGCTGCATAGAGATAGCGCCGACAATAGAGAAAGACGGCTGCCAAAGCACTAATGGTACGAAAGAACGTGTAGCAAACCAGGTAATGGGCCTCCCCAAAGCGTGGGAATCCGAAGCAGATAAGCTGGTCATTACAAGCGAGCGCTGGAATGTGTGTCACCATGATCAGACAACGTCTACAGACAAGAGACAGCACAGAACACAAGAAAACTGCGTAGCCCGTGATGGCTCTGGTCGTCTGCACTCCGCGCAAATTTCGATTAGGGGAAGGGACGCAGATGTGTTGCCACGTAAGCCAGCGTTAAGTGTTCGCGACGACAGCGCTGCCGTCGCGAAGTCTGAACGCTGCCTAATCTCGCTCAACCACATTAACGGTAATAGTTTGACATGGCATTCAGCACAGATTTTCAGCATATAGCAATTTTTGACAGGAAATATCAAACAACTCAGGCAAATGGCAACAGCCAATGGTAATAATTGAATCTCGTGAATTCTTCGTCATAGCCTGCAAATCAAAGCTGAAAATGTTGTTCCGAATCCTCGGCGAGAACTTTGTATAGGAACCACTCGTTTTTATTTTCCTCCCAAACGCGCAGAATCCTCTGAAGACGTTCTTTCTCTTCAGACCACAAAGGCACAGTCATATATCTAAAATGAGAACGTTCTTCGAAGTGGTTAGTGGTAAAAAAGAACAGGAGTAATCAAAAAATACTAGGAACCAACTGGGCATTTCGGACGCTGCCAGCCGGCTGAGAGTTGAGCTACTCCTATGCACCCTCATTTCACAATTAAATTAGGGATACAAGGGCCGCTCAAAGTATATTCGGTATCGAGGTTATTTAGCAGTGACGAAGGAATCCAGATTATTCCAGTAGTAACAACACTTCTTGATGGGTATTACAAATCCGTTCAGCTATCGTCAATGCTATTATAGATATCCTTTGCGAAAGAAGACTAGAACGACTGATGCGACAATGTTGAGAAGACGAACACTGATTTAAAAAATGAGTACTCCTTAATGGTACTGCCAAATTTAGTTCGAGCTGACAAAGTCTGAGGTTACGGGGCACTACATTTGAAAAACAAATGTTATTCACACTCTCTGTCTTTTCTGGCATACCAATCACCGCGAGAATCATTTTGCAAACAACCTCGCCAGGGTGCAGCGGCAAGGGGGGGGGGTCACTTGAAGGCTCACTTGCGCAGAACTGAGATCGCCTTGATGAAGATGGGGATTTTTCTGAGATGAGCTTCGTGAGTGGTGGGGACCCATTTCTTTGTGCAACAGGGGGGCTCGCATTACGCGTATCCCAATCTATCAACACGGCATGCTTTTGATGCCTCTCTCTCTGCCTACCTGTCCCAGGATTTGCTACCGTTGTGTTCTCAAGAGCAAATAATCTGTAGAATAGAGCGCTGGAAAGTGGCGCTGCAATTGCCAGCAATGTCTAAGATTCAAATCCCACCCCTCATCTGAGCTCTCGGAAACGGCAATTCGATGTGGGTGGTCTTCCCCACAGTGGGTTGACTAATGCTTGATGCTTAATCTTTTCACTCAATCCAAGCTGCTGAATAGCGCTATTACTTACAATTACCTATTGAAACCTATGTTATAAAGAACGAACCTTTCGGGGATCGTATACGTAGGTGAAGAAAAGTACTGGGAAGAGCTTGTTGGAAACAATTGTTTTGCGAAGTTCATCATTGAAATCTCTCTGTTTTTTCATGGTCATCTTAAATTTACGACAACTCGTAAGCACGAAATAGCCCGGCAAATATTGAATCAAAATATGAAGGATTATTCTAATAGGTGCAATACTTACCAAACAACCGCCCTTATCCACTGTGAAGGTGAATTCCAGATCTTCTGGCTTCCGGGCTTTTGAATTTCATACTCGATTCCTGAGCAATTTTTTAAATTTTAAAGAACATCACTGAAGAATGATTGTTTTGTTCAAGACAATCCAGTTTACTTAGTTACAGGCTCTCGCTGCGGATGAAGGGGCGCATTGGGGGGATGGCTCTGGCGCGACGTCAGCTCGTCTTTTTTCTTTCGGCAAGCGACGAGACTGTCTCTTGTCCACTCAACAAATGGTGGAAAACAGGTTTCCAGCGCGCTAAAGCCAGCCTCGCTGACACGCCCCACCATCCGCGTGAAACGAGACTGTACCATATAACATCATTACATAGGTCTCACTGGTTGTGCGCATGAAAATTCCTCTCTAAACATTACAAATATAGATAGTACTGCCCCTTTCCAACTACTTTGGAAAGTATTTTCAGTGGCTCAAGAGGAACACCAGAATTCTGTTTTGTTCAGACAATCCAGTCTATTAGTTACAGACCTTTCCGCTGCGGATGAAGGGGCGCATTGGGGGGATGGCTCTGGCGCGACGTCAGCTCGTCTTTTTTCTTTCGGCAAGCGACGAGACTGTCTCTTGTCCACTCAACAAATGGTGGAAAACAGGTTTCCAGCGCGCTAAAGCCAGCCTCGCTGACACGCCCCACCATCCGCGTGAAACGAGACTGTACCATAATAACATCATTACGTAGGTCTCACTGGTTGTGAGCATGAAAACTCCTTCTAAACATTACAAATATAGATAGTACTGGCCCTTTCCAACTACTTTGGAAACTATTTTCAGTGGCTCAAGAGGAAAACACCAGAACCTCTGAGCGGGTGCAGCTGAGGTCTTCAGTTGTACAGGTTACTGGTCAAGAGATTACTAGTTTCTCGTACAGGTGAGCCGACACTCCATGAAACAATCGGTATCTTGGAGTTCTTTTCTACTCCCAAGGCTTAGACAAAACTTTTTCTTAATGGACTGTGGACGTGAGCTACACCAGCGCCTACGACCTCTGAGAACACATTGATCACGTCTGCGGAAAAAACGGTTTTCTAGTTTTATGCTATATAAAGCACAAAAAAACCAGCAGCGAAAAACAGGAGAAAGTTAGCAAATAGAGAGCAGAAGGCATACAAATCCAATCAAAAAATATTTATCGAACGTATAACCATTCAAAAGAGCCCAGCTAAACAGACGAGTTCACTAGAACACCCACAAGCCAAACCGACCAACCTGCCGACCTGACCATCGATTTATAAAAATGTCAACGAATTTCAGGGAACTAAAACAACAGGAACTTGCAAAAATACGTCTTGGGATTACAAAGATGAGGATTTACTATGTGAGCACTTGAAAAGGGTTTCGAAAGATTTCGACGACATCGAACGGTCCATATCGTGACCTCGTTGGTGATGTATGACGGCAAGAATCGAACGCTCAGGTCAACGCTTCTGGCAACTCCTTGAGAATAAGAATATCCCTAGGGTACAGATATCAACAGGGATAACTGAGGTCTACGGTGCTAATGATCCCCTATCAAGATGCCGGTCTCTGCTGCCGATTTTGTTAACGTTCATTGAAACTACATTAGTGTCCTAATTGACAGCCTTAAACTATGACAGATGACTTTTAGTGACAAATGGGCCACTTGACACCCGTTTCCTCATATAAATTAACCTAATGTTTAGCAATTTCTGACAAAATTTACCCCTTTTATGAGTATAAGCCAAGTGCAAGCAAGTGAGTTTATGAGCCGAACCCATGTAGGGATCACCTTGGCTTTGAACGCCACGAAAGTTCTTCCCTAACCTTTTTCCCTTGTTTTTTTTGTCCTTATTCATATTAATTATCAACACTCAATAATACGTGTTGGAATACCAGCTGGAAGAATAAACTAACTAGGAGAAAACTGCACAGTATTCTCAGCTGCGAAATTACGTCGGCATTTTCTCGTCACTAAGCTAAGCAGGAGTTCGAGCGGAGAAAAGGAAAAAGAAAAGTTGAAAAAGAAGAGAGGAACGGAGGAAGAGAAGGAAATAACGATTTGAAAGTCTTCCAGATCTTGATCCTAATAAAAAAAGCGTACATCAATAAATTTATGAAGGACCGCCGGAACACAACTTAAATGCTCTGCATATTATAGTTAAGCCGGTAATCGTAGTAGGACCCAATCCTCATGGCCTAGGGATCCAATCAAAGGTATGGGGCATGGACCAATGAGAGGTGCACAGCAAATCATGGGTTGTGGGATTTAAAAAGAGCATGTGGAAAACGAGTTATTAGGGAAAAAAGGAAAAAGAATTCGTCGAACACGCGTGAATAAGGCTCTAGAGCACTGACGTAGTTGCTACGTGTGGCGGGGGGGGGGGGGGGAGGTATTGCGCCCACAGCGACTCTGGTCCTCTTCGCTCTTGCTTCTTCCAAAGTTAAGTGGTTTTTCGGTGCTGACGCTGAGGCGTGTCAAGGTATCTGAGTTGATGCGCGCTCCTGCTCAATTTCACCAATTGTTGGAGCGAGCAAGGACAACAGTTGGTGGAAAACGGGTTAACGCCGCGCCAAATTAAGCTTCGAAAGGCTCAGCTTCAGCAGCGAAAGGCTCATTCTTAGAACAGCACGAATCCCAGTCGCCGAGACCTAGTCTCTTAACGTGTCCCCCCCAGAACTACGGTAGCACCGGTCTCTGAGCCTTTTAGCGCTGGACGAAAACAATACGAAGGGACAGTGAGAGCATAAAAGGAAACATAGGACAAAATGGAGAGAGGGTATGCAGTACGAGCAGCAGGATCGTGAGATGAGATGAAAAGGGCAAAGTCGAGCTCGGAGGGTGGATTCTGACTTTGGTGACAGACCTCTGACAGCTTTGCAAAATTCACTTTCGAAAGGTAAAGTAGTACATTTTCTGTGATTGCGGAGCATGCTTTAATAGGAAAGCACATGGTGGAAAGAAGAGATTCTACACAGCACAACAATGGTGGATGGTTTTTGTAGAGAACCATTGCGGACGAAACTATGTAACAAAACTGATATGCAAAAACTTAAAGCCCCCACCCAGACCAACGATTATGTACGTAAAAAGGGTGATCGAAAATCAAAAGGCTAGTCTTTGAAGAGAACCATTCAGCGCGAACGCTGGAAAGTGAATGGAGCATCAGGTGCTTGGCGCTATTTTTGCCACGTGCGCCAACCATGGGCCAACATTCAACCCACGCGGCAGCCATCTTTCTGGCGCCAACACCAACCACACGGTGGCAGACGCGTTTTAGTATGGCTGGTGGAAGGTGGTCCTTTTTTCCCTCCGATCCTGGCTTGCCCTCCGTAAGCTCGCGAATCAGCCATTTTTAAAGGGTCCCCCACTGATGTGCGCATGTTAAATTCGTTCTGTGGGCTTGTGTGTGCTTACAATTTTTCCAAAAATTAAAAAAAAATCAACAGATGCCACAATTGCAAAAAGCTACAAATGCCACATCAAACACCTGGACCTTAAAGGCACCCACCGGCTATCCGAGGTTTATCGAAGACTCTGGAATTAATCAATTCCACCACGGAAAAAATCTTTTATAACGTTGTTGCAGTCGAATATTCGCCACTCGCAACTGAACTTAAAAGAAGCTACGCTTAATAACTAATACGAAGCTATTAACTTCAAAGAAAAAATCCAGGGTGACGTTTTTCGGAAAAAAATTCGCGAATGCTCTCAACAAATTGTGCGGCAGGTGCGTGAAGTGTACAATTTGCAAACACTATACGCATGCACGCTTTACATATGATACATCCTCATCATTACGGACTGTTCGGGGCGGACAGCCGCGGCTGCAATTGTGACGCGACAGCGGCCGACTCTGTGACGGTGAATCACTGAAATTTTTTTCCCCCCCGATGGAATTCGCTGCAGAATACTACTTTTGTAGTTCTTTAAAGCTTCTACAAGTGGATTAGGGAGTTCTATAGTGAACAATTCTGAAATTATAACTGGTTCTGATTTCTTACTATTTTAAGTGTCGATTTATGCTCTTTCCTTGTATCTTGCTCATATTCTAGGCATTTATTCGGAATGTTTGTATTCTTAAAATTCATTCAGAGGTCAGTACAGATCTTAAAATAGCTCAAATAATCACTTCCAATTTCAAAGGCTTGAAGAGTCGAGAAAACGAATCGCAGTCGGAATTCCAATGGGAAGATCAGCTTGTTTGAGCCGTCACCGAGGCCGAGCGCCGCATGTGCGTCACATGGAGGGCGGCCTGCGCTACCCGACAGTTTCCGTTAAGCCATTGTTCACAGACTGCGGCTAGCGTTTTCTCTAGAAAGAAACGCTCCGGCGAAAAAGGTCTCGATAGCGTATCGATCCGGTCGTGGCGAAGAGTCCTGGCGTTGGGGAAAGGGTTTCGAATACGATCGACCCGGGCGTTTCGCCAAACCGCGACTTTTTTCGCCTTTACGAAACGCTAGCTCGATCGCCCTTGGCGTTTTTTCGCCAGCGAAATCGCTACGCATCTATTGCTTTCGCGCCCAACCGCCGAACCGCGGTGGTTCGGCGAAACTAGCGGTTGGCGATTCTCTCTGATCAATCCGTATATTTTGCTTTTCGCCAAACCGCCATTTCGTCAGGGTCGCAGACTGTGAACAATGTCCAAATGATGAGACTGAAGCAAACACTCTGAGGCCAGGGTAAGCGACCCTGCCTCGATAGACCTGCTAGATGGTCAATTTGGCTGTGCCGCCATGAAATCTGTAACCAGCCGGCTGACTCACCGTAAGGTACGATTTCACGATGGCTCTTAAAAAGCAAAGTAAATGCTAATCATTCTCCCTAACTATTTGCATTTCACACGAGCGAATTCGCACTCACCGTGACGCGGATACTTTTTACATATTTTTGCTTACTATTCGTGAAAAAAGTATGTCACGAGATCTTCTTCCAAAGCTTCCTAAATTTTTGGCGCTAATAATTTGGAAGGATACTAACGTGTGCAATGTCAGGCTATCATCATTTCCGTACATGCTTGTTCGCTGCGAATGATAGGGCGTGTCAGTAAAACTGGGTTTGCGCGCTGCCAGCTCGTTCCGATCGGTTTGCTGAAGCCGGTACGCGACAGCAGTTGGTGGAAAACGACTGGTACGAAGCTATGTTACAGTCCTGTCGATTGCTCGCTTCAACAACTGGTGGAAAACGGACGCCAGACCCCGCCCCTTCCAACACGCGCGATCATCCGCAGCGTATACAATGTACTTTTGATCTGGTAACCGATACCCCGTTTTACACCTAATCTTGCGAATCTTACCAAAATATCCTAAAATTTCGTCGTAAGCTGGGGCGGGCTATAGCGCGCTTGAAACGAGGAGAACACCACTCGCAATAATTTTCTGTCGAGGTAGACTATGATGCACAGCGGCCAGATAAGATCCCACAGTAATTTCCACATCGGATGGCCCCTGACTGCCAGTGTTTAGCACCCCCCCCCTTTAGTCAAGCAGAAGTCCTCATCTTAACTACGTGTAGTTTCTAGTTTTGGCATAAAAAGACCTTCAACGACAGCCCCCCCCTCCTCAGTCAACCGGTTGGTGGGCGTCCTTCCCTATGTAGTCCAGTCCGCACACTCAGAAATTGTCCTACTTTAGCGCTCCACAGTGACTGAGGAGGGTGTGCAGCCGTCGCAAGTCTAAGTTCTGACAGCTGAGCCAAACCGCCTACTAGATTCGCTTTGATTCTGAAGGCAGGGGCCCAGTTTGTTGTTTGCGTGTAGCGGCGGGGCATAAACCAAACTGGTGTTCATTTTTGCGGGATGCTGGTGCTCATGAATAATTGGAGCTCAACGTTCAATTTGCGCGTAGTATAATTGAGATTTGCCGACTGTCGCACAAATGCACCCTACAAGACGAATTGCATTTGACCGTACGTGCTCTTGATGAAAAAAAGTAGTAACGAAGAGCCAAATTATTCATGACCACCAGCATTGTCACAAAAAATGGACACCAGTTCGAATTTATGCCGTCGCTACACCAAACTACAACTGAGCGAACTTGCGTTCAGAATAAATTGTCATCCGTAGGTAGGCGGTCCGGCTCAGCGAGCGTCAGAACTTAGACTTGCGACGGCTGCACACCCTCCTCAGTCACTGTGGAGCGTTGAAATGGGACAGTTTCTGAGTCTGCGGACTGGGCTACACAGGGAAGGACGCCCACCAACCGGTTGACTGAGGGGCCTTTATGCAGAATTACGAACTGCGAGCTCTGGCCGCTGTGCATCATGGT